CCCCGTATCCATGGGGAACACGTTCCAAGACCTACTGTGGATACCCAAAACCATGGACAGTAGCAAACCCTATACTGTATATAAGTCATTTTTTGTTTACATACAAGTGATAGTTAGGTAGTAGGTTGGTAGACAGCAGCCACCCAGGGAGGTACTACCGTCCTGCCAAGTGAGTGTGAAACGAAAGCCTGTAATTGTTTTACATGATGGTAGGATTGCTGATGTCTTTTTTCTGTCTCATAAACATGCAAGATTTCAGGTACGTCTTGCTACTTCTACTTACACTTAGGTCACACTACACATACATGTACAAACATATATATACACACCCCTCTGGGTTTTCTTCTGTTTTCTTTCTAGTTCTTGTTCTTGTTTATTTCCTCTTATCTCCATGGGGAAGTAGAACAGAATTCTTCCTCCATAAGCCATGCGTGTTGTAAGAGGCAACTAAAATGCCGGGAGCAAGGGACTAGTAACCCCTTCTCCCGTATAAATTACTAAATTTAAAAAGAGAAACTTTCATTTTTCTTTTTGGGCCACCCTGCCTTGGTGGGATACGGCCGGTTTGTTGAAAAAAAAAATACAAGTGATAAAGTTTAACTGATAAATTATGCACAACAAATCTAGAAATAGCACTTTTTCACCGATGAGAAGCACTGCTCGGCTTCTCATAGGCTCTGAACAACTGTCAGCATCACTATTTTGTACTTTGAGGCCATCATCCACAGTAAGCCATGGATAACTGAAACCGCGGAAACTGGATCCACGGATATGGGTGTCCTGCTGTATTTGGTCTTCGTTGATACAATGATGAGAAAATCTGACTTTGCATAAATGACTGGAACTCTGCATTATTATTATTATTATTATTATTATTATTAGTACTAGTAGAAATAATAGTAGTAATAGCAGTAGTAGTAATAATATTAGTAGTAATAACAGTAGTAGTAATAACAGTAGTAGTAATAACAGTAGTAATAATAGTAGTAATAATAATAATAGTAATAGTAGTAGTAGTAGTAATAGTAGTAGTAGAAATAGTATAGAAAGTAGTAGAGTAATATAGTAATTAGTAAAATAACAGTAAAATAATAAAATAGATAATAACAGTAGTAATAATAGTATAATAAAATAGTAAGTAATAGCAGTAGATAATAGTAGTAGTAGAAATTTAAAAATAGAAAGTTAAAAAATAGAAAGAAAGTTTTAGTATAATAATAGTAGAAAATAATAATAAAATAATAAAATAGTAGAAAGAAAATAGTAGAAAAGCGCAAGTACAAATAGAATAAAGTTTTAATAGTAAAATAGTGATAACAGAAAGTTTTAGAAATAAAATTTATTAAAAGTAGAAATAGTGGTATAGAAGAAGAAATTTGTAGTAACATTTAAGTATAATAGTAGTAATATTTGTAGTAGTATAAGTAGTAAAATTGTATTAGAAATAGTATTGTATAGAAAATATTTGTAGAAAGTAAAAGAAACCCTGAAGTAATAGCAACAGAAATAGTAATATAGTAGTATACATAATATTAGAAACCAGTAGTAGAAATAGTAGTAGTGTAAGTAGAAATAGTAGTACTGAAGTAAGAGAAGTAGTAATAGTAGTACTGTATTAACAGTAGTAAATATAGGGGAAATAGTGTGGAAAGTAGCTTCCCTTTGGATTTTTACACCAAAATAATAATAATAGCAGAAAAAAAAACAGTGGACCTCGGTTATTGGCCCCCCGGGATATCGACCAACTGGAAATTCCCCGGGTTTTTTTGGCCGAAATTTTTTTCCCGGGTTATCGGTCGTTACTTCGCTTACCCCGGGCCCGTAATGGATGCGCCCTACCCGGGCCCGCGCGCTTTTTTGTAAATCATTTTTGGCAATGTCCTGAAAAGGGAAGGAAATTTCTGCCCCTTTCCAATCCGAACTTTTGCTACAATCCTTTTGTTTTTTGTGGTTTATTGTTTGGGAGTGCAACGGGCGAAAAAAGGGAAACCCAAAGGGCCCAAAGAAAGTTAAAAAGTAAATTTTCCTTGGGTAAAGAAAGGGAAACAGGGGGGGAAATTTTAAAGAAAGAAAAAATTTGAAAAAAAAGAAAGTGGGTTTTGGGGGGTTTTAAAAATTTTCCAGGTGTATGGGAAATCCAAATCAACAGCCCACTTTCATCCTGGAAACAAAAAGTAAAAATAAAGGGAAAACTAATGTTGCGAAAGAGGAAGAAATTTGCTAACAAACAAAGGTCACCAATAAAGGAAGAATAGGGAAAAATTTAAATTGTTCTTGTGGATCCCCGGGAAAAACAATTACCGGAAAGTTTTTTGGGGAGTCATAAATTAAAAAAAGGGGGAAGGCAGTTGCATGAAAAACCCCGTAAGAAAATGCCTAAAAACGAGGGCTGCTGTTGGGTAAATTTTAGGGAAAGCAAAGGCGGGTTTTTGAGGGGATTTAAGAACAAGGGGGCATAACAGTTTGGGAAAAGGCATGGTGGGGCCGCAATTTTCGGGAAAAAATGCGTGGCTGAAAAAATTTTTGTGCAAAATTAAAGGGGGTTACATAGAGGTAAAGCATTCCTCCCCCCAACAAGTGTTCAATTGTAAAGAAACGGGCCCCCTTTTGAAAAAAAAGCCAAAGAGCACCTAAAACACGCGGGGAAAGGAAAAAGGGCCCCTTTGCCAGGACACAAGCCTTTTAAAACAGGCTGACTCTTTTTTTTTCTGGGGAAAAGCTAGTGGGGTTTTCAAAGTAAAACCCCTTTATTTGGTATATCATTTGGAAAACCCAAAAGTGTTTTCAAAAAAATCCAAAAATTGTCAAGATAATTTGGTGTATGATTTTGGAAAAGCTAATAATAAGGCAGGGGTAAAGGGGCAAATTTTCAGAAAATTTGGGTCCATGAGTGTTTGCCCGAGCGTAAAAAAAATCCCTCCTGGAAAACAAATCCCACTAAAGGTGCCCCTGGTACGGAAAAAGCCCTGCTCATTCTCAAACTTTGAAGACCAATTTTTTAAGGGGACTTCCCGTTTTAAAACATGAAGTTTTTGCCCCCTAACACCCACTCCTCTCATCCACCCCATGGCCAGAAAGTCTTTTTTAACTTCAAAACCTCTACACGAAAGCAGTGTTTCAAAGGTGTTTTTTTTGAAGGGGCCCCGGACACTGATTTGACCCTAAAAAATTCTGGAGGAACCATTTAAATAACCTCCATGGGTTTAAGGCTTTGAAAGGGAAGTCCCTTCCCAGGATTTGAACTCAGCGGGAGAAAGTTGTAGCCAAATTTTCCTCAAACAAGGATTTTAAAGGGGTTTTGGGGGCTGATCCCAAGGCCCCCTTTCCTTTTGTAAAAACTATTGTGTCTTTGGGGAAAAGCCAGGGGGTTTGGAGGTTAGGGGCAGGATTTGGGAAGACTGGTGGGGACCACTTTAAAGAGCTAATTTCAAAAGGGAGCTGCAAAACCTTCATCTGGAACAGAAAACCAGACCACAGCGAGGAAATTGTTTCCCAAAAGGAGGAGAAAAAGGGGGAAAAATCCCTTTTCTTCATGATTAAGGACTTTTTTTGCAAATTTAAAAGAGGTGAAAATTTTTGGGAGAAATATCCCCTGACCTAGCTGAAATAAGCCATATCTCAAAAAAGGTTCATCCCCAAAACCCTGTCCCTTTTCCCAGGAAATCTTAGAAATCCCAAAGAAACAGACCCCCCCTTTTTAACAGTTTTTTTTGTGCAACAGGTTGCATTGACTTTTAAAAGCTGGTCCTAGGGGTTTTGAAAAGACAAAAAAAAGGGAAAACCCCCAAAAGGGAGGGTTTTAAATCCCTTTAAGTCCTCTTTGGGGGGGAAACCCCCCTTTCCCAAAAACAATAATCGGGGCCCTCCCTCTCCCTCCTCCGCTTCCAAATGCCAACAAGAGCCCTTCCCATTTATTTATTTTTTTAAGTTCCCTTGTTTTGTGTAGGGTAAAACTATAGTTAATTTT